GGAGGAGGAGGAGAAGCGAGGGAAGAAAGGAAAAGAAAGTGAAGGAAAGCAGGGTGAGATTGTCGGGGTGTGTCGCGGGAGGGAGGGAGGGAGGGAGGGTGTTACCCTTACTTTTTATATTACCTCCATATTACACTTTAAACCCTTATTCGGGACGAAGGAAAATTCACACCCTCCCCCCATACCTGACTTATTCATCCCCGTAGAAGGTTATTCGAAAAGACAGATCATCCCCCGAGAACAAAAATAATTTCAGATATATCAAAATATTCAAATATAATTTTTTCTCCAAATTCATCCCCAACGTACAGTCAGTCCAGTTGGCTGGTATCGATCAGCGGCCAGGTGTACCACGCCCAGGAATAAAAAAAAAAAGAAGCGATCAGCTGACTAAAATATAGTGAAATAATCTCAGTGAGTGTCTAGTAAAGTGTAGAATTTATAGAGAGCCAACACGAAGGGGTAGTCACTTATTCGCATAGGGGTGTAAACACCACTCGAGCAGCTTACTCCGACTAGGTGTTCACTTATTCTAGGTGAGCGCCTCGCCGCAACGGATCCCACGTGTAATCCCTTCGCCTCTTAACTGGCGCTATCGGCGTTACCTGGGGCCCCGTGGGCGAGGTAAGGGCGCACTTTCCTAAGGGCGCACTGTCACTGCCGAACGATAAATAACGCGTTATCTGTCCATGGGATAGCAGCTAATTTATTTATGAATCGAGCAAGGGTCCTGCGGCTACCATGAGTCACGTGCCATCTGCCGCTACCCGCGAATCATTAAGACACATGATTTTCTATTTCCAGGCTGCACATACATAGACATACACATGGGAGGAAACTTACCTTCGTCTCCTGCTCCACCTCCCTTCACCCTCTTTCTCAGCCACCCTCTCAATTTACTTTGCTTCCAACGTTACTTCTACAAGGGTGGAAACTTCCCCGAGGTAGGTTGGCTCGAGGAAAAAAAAAAAAAAAGGAAGAGTAACCATGGTTTTCCTATTGCGAAAGAGAGGCGAGAACAGAGAAAAAAAGGACGGGGTTTCCCTTTACGGCTAAACAGCTAAGATCCTGAGAGCCTAAGAAGGTGAAGACGTGGGGAACGTAAAGGCGGTCGCGCGAGGATCGATGCTACTTTCGCGCGACGTGGAAACTAAAACTTCCGGATCCAATGGGAACGTTCCTTAAACCGTTTGACACGCTCGCGCTGAGAACTCCCCTTGTTCCTTGCGAATTCTCCGATTTCCAGACGTGCCCAGGACATTCCGCGAATGTCACTCGATGCCAGAGATTGACGCTGCGGATTCCGGAATTCCGGGACTCCTTGGCGCTCTACTCCACTTGTGTTAATAAGGACGCACGAGTAGGGAGGGCTGGCTGGGCGAACGGGAAGCCAGGGGGAAGAGAGGAGGAGAGAGAGAATTTTCGACTTCAAAGCGTACCGAGTGTCGCGAACTAAATTCAGGCCCGAGGGCGACGGAGAGTTTGCCATTTCAGATCCAAGTCCATTTGATGATTAAGCGTAAACTCGGGAAGTTATCCCTCGGCGAAATGGTTGCACGTGTACGCATAAAAAGTTCTTATCTCGAGATCAGGAGCGGCCGAGGAGTTTGCGGAAGCAAATCTTGCGGAGTGGGAGACGCGGGGCGAGCGCAAAATAGGAGCAGCTGCTATTTCGTGGAGTTGCGTAAAATTCAGCGTGGCTGAGGTTAATGGTAGGAAACACGATATAACGTGGGAAAAGGGAAAAAGCGACGGAGCGAGAGGAGGGCGGCGGGTGGAGTCGGATGAGAATTCTTCCTTCCGTCTCGGCGTCGATATCGGGTTGCTAATGGTGTAAGTCAAGCCGTTTGCCACGATAAAAATGTATGCAGGGGTAATTGAAGGGAAGACGCTCCTGCGCCGCTCTTCGTTATTCGACGTCAGGCCTTAATTGGTCTAGGAATTATTTAGCGTTTAACGAAAGTCGCCTGGGAATTTGACGTCGGTGTAAAAAGTAGAGGAAGCGCCTCCGTAGCGAAGGCTGGTGGGAGTTCTCCGATGACTCGACGACTCGACGACTCGACGACTCGACGGGGAAGGGAGACGTTCGAGCGTCTTCATCAGGGGGATGATTTGCTCCCACCCTGTTTGGATATTCGTTGTAAACTCTCGAGTGGAAGACAAAGAGGGTGCTGGGTGGCGCGGCGCGTACTAGTGCAGGGGTGGCACGCGGCCGGGTCAAGTTCTGCCTTGGCTCATTAGAGAGACGAGAGGCAGCAGCAACCTCAGCGGCAGCAGCTCCAGAGGTCAGGCTAGGTACAGCCTGATGGAAGGTGCACGCGTAGAGAGGACGGGCAGGGACGCTAGAATAATATAGCGTGTAGAGGGCAAAGCGAGGCTGTTGGAAGATGTAAGAGGTAAAAGATGAAAGAAAATAAGAAGAGGGACTGCCGATCGAATCGCTCTGCCTTTCACCCCTGAGTCCCTCCCTCTCTCCTCCAATTACTTCACTGCCTCCTGATTCTCCTGATTCTCCTGATTCTCCTGATTCTCCTGGTGTACACGTTGCGTGCACTTCAGAGTCTCTTGGCGCCCCCTCCCCCTCCCCACCCCCCCCCTTCTTCTTAAGCTTGCACAAAGAGTTAGCAGCTACCCTCTCGTCTCTCTCCACTGGCTAAATCCGTAATTGCTCCGCGCGACTGCACATCGGCAGTCGGCCCACGCTGTTTGCCAATTTATTTGGTTTGCCGGTGTTTGCCTACGGCCCACGGCTTCTGCGGCCCTCGAGTGGAGCTTCCAGTCATCTGTATTTTCTCTCTCACAGTCTCACTCTCCGAAGCTCCAGCATCCTTCGCTGCAAGTTTGCTCTTGCGAGACAGCGTGGAATAATCAAGCAATACCGGAATCCCGTGCGACTAGAGATAAAGAGAGACGCGATGAGCAGACCACAAATGAGAGAGAGAGAGAGAGAGAGAGAGAGAGAGGACACGCTGGTTGCCATTTGAATACTCGGAATGAAAAGCTGTTGTGAGAAACGAGTGAGTCTCGTAAGCGCGATTTGATCGGGAGGTCCCAAGGCGAAATTACTTTCCACGTGGAAACTTTGCTCCTTGGGAAAATGAAGTTTGCGGTTAGTTCGGACAAGAGAGAATCAGTTGAGGGAGGGTGAAGTTTATCCCGGTGGACGACGGGAGGGATGGGGCTTAGAAAAAGAAAAGGTACGTCGGACCGAGATGATCTTCCCTCAGGAATAGGAAAAAAAAAAAAATAGGAAAAGAGGGAGAGATGCTACTGTATCTCGTAATCGTTGCATTTGGTCGTAACGACTCCCACGGAATGGTCCATGATAAGAAGATACAGCTTCCACGAGGACAGCGGTTCTTATCGATGCAAAACAGCACGAGGGTTGTAGCAATTAAGAGATAACAAGGTTTCCCCCCGGCACCCCTCCAATTAGTGACGCCCCTGTCGACCCTCGCGGCTGTTGCCACTACCAGTGCCATTGCGAGTGCCAGTACCAGAACCCACCCCCGCGGTACCGGCTACGAGAACAACCCCTCAATGAGCGACGGGCCACGAGCCACAGGCAACCCCCTCGATCCCCCTCGATCCCCCTCGATCCCCCTCGATCCCCCACGACTGTTTGCATACCGCTGCGGTCTATAGGGAATTCGCACTGAGCAAGGTGCCACCTTCTGGTACGTATAGGTACACAATACGATGCTCCGCCTGTACAGGTATAGAGATACGAGCGGACGTTAGAAGCGAACTAGGGATTGAAGAAAAGCATGTAAAAAATCTCAAGCTCAATCATCCCCCAGTGTCTTGAAGACTCACGTGACAATCAGTAGCAGGGACGTTGCCTTGTAAAATAAAAAAGAAACTCCGCGTATGACGGAACAGGGGTCGCGCTGGGCCACGCACGGCACTGCGGTCATGGGGCTCGGGCCGAACATTCGTCACGCACCAGAGGAGGGGTGGGCATCTGAATTATTTCGAATTCAGTAAGCTCGAATAGAGAGGCACGGTATACGATTGATTATTAGCGAGTCCGTGCAAACGAGGCCAATTGATCGAAATCATCGATGCGAATTCAAAGTCGCCTCCCTCGAAATAACAGAATCCTCGGGCTGTTCCACAAGTATTTCCAGCTATCCTGACAGTCCGTCGCTCTGAATTCGCACTTCGATCGGTTCACACTCGAATACCTCCCGGTCCCTCGGAATGCAGATGCGGAGGTGCGGAGGTGTAGGAAGTGGCAAGTGGGAAGTGGGAAGGTAGAACGAAAAGGAGCGAGAGAGGGAAGTGGGCCGAAGGGAGGGCTAGAGTGGGACAGGGCGCCGCTCAGTTGGGCGTGCGAGGTCGTTAGCAGAGTTCGAGCGGTGCATAGCAATGAGGGAGGGCGAGGAAACCTCCTGGGAACAGACAGCCGCTACGTGGAAGACGAGGAGCTCTCGTGGAGGAGGGTGAAGTCTACGAGAATGGACGGATGGATAGTTCAGGGTAGGACAGACCTACCCGGTATATTACAGTTCCGCAGGGTTAGGACAGGAAAGGATGAGCCTGACTCATGGCACCGCGACCAGGAGAATCGAAATCGTTACACGCCGCCGCCCCCCCTCCCCCCGGATTCGTGTTGTGCTAGGAATTAGAGGGAGGGGGGGGAGGAGGATCTGAGAATCAGGGAAGAGGGAGGGTTAACATAAACCACGGGAAAAGTAGCGGCTGCTCCTGATGAACCTCCTGCGGTATCTATATGCATGAGTAAGTAGGCTGAGGATGGTTGAGCAAAGCCATTGAATGTCTGGCTGGAAGGTAAGAGAGAAGAAGCGAAAAGGAAGAAGGAAGTCTCTGGGTCGCAAAGTTGGTCTTGTTAGGTTAGGATCCTAGGGGATCCTGATCAACCAGCCGTGCAAACCGGAACCCCTACCAGACACGCTTCGTTTCTCAATTGATTCTTTATTTTACAATCGACAGAGCCGCCTTAAGGGTCGCGCCCGACCTTCCCTAATGCTATAAAAATGCCCCATTCTTTTCGTCCGGTTGGTAGCTGGATTTTTTAAATTTTCCTTTTTTATTTTATTATTAATATTTTGTTTTATAGAGAGACGAACCACTGCCCAGCTTACCAGTACCCGACCTGGAGATCACTATTCAGAAGTATCTACAACAGGTCGAGGCGGTAGCTCCGAATCATCTGGAGAGGGCACGCGTCCTGGCGAAGGCCTTCCTGGCCGGACCTGGACCCAAGCTTCAGCAGCGTCTTCTGGAGCGTAGACAGAGAACAACAAACTGGGTAAGCGTATACCTATGTACCGGAGCCATCAGGCAGGATCACCTTAAATATTCACGGCTCAAGGCAGGAGCTGTGTGCAGTAAGAATAAAGATAAAGAAAAATATAAAAGTGACACGGTGGGGGGGGGGGGATGAAGAAGAAGCCTCGTCTAAGTGGCACAACACCATTTTCGTTTCAACCCCCGATGCCTCGAGAGACTCTGCCCCCCTCTGGCATCTACCTACGCAGGCTACGCCGTAGTCGCACTCCGTGACTTTAGCGGCGATCTCCCCATCTGGTCCCCCGGGACGCGTCCCGGCGCTATGCATAGTGCCTCACTCGCTGCCGACTATGGCTGCCTCCTTCTCCATCCGCTGCTCTTCCATCCTCCTTCCACCTGATCCCTTCTATTCGATCTCTACCCCTTAGCCCCTTGGTTACGCTTGTCCACCCACCGAAACCCCTGTGGCACATAAATAAATAAATAAATAAATAAACGGATTTACGGGCCCCAGCCCCCACCGCGCCGGCCCTGACGCACCAAAATGGCAACCCTCTGGTTCACGTGCAGTATCGCAGAGCGAGGCGGCGGCGGCTCCTCGGGATCCTTGACGCCGCCAAAAGAGCTTTGTGGAACAATGGAACGACTAGAGCACAATAGGAGGGTTGCCAGAGGGCAGAGGGAAAGGGTTGCTTGGCTCCATAAACGGGAGGCTGGCTTCATTAAAAGCGCCGGCATGCGGTCTCCCACACTCATTGTGCCTGTAACGATAACACAGTCAATTTTAAATAAAGTATCTGCCGGTCGAACGAAAAATTCTACAGGGTCGTTCAGAAGTTGCAAACACGCTGATATCAGTGAAATAAATTTTCACGAGGTGCGATCGACAAGTCAATAACGCCCATAGGCCAGAAACGTTCGGTAGATTGGACGGCAGGCAATTCGCCTTTCTAAGCAAGAGGACTGAGCCAGAGGACTGGGGGACCGAGGGGACTCGAAGACTGAATGGACCAGAGGACACGGACTCTAGGGACGAAAATTGCTTTTGCCTTGACTGCCGAGTTCGTTCCGCTTCTAAAAGCGAAAATGTATTTCGACGCTAGGAAATAAATCGAAATCCAGAATAACGATTGTATCCCAAGTCCCACGGGAGTAGCATGCGAATGTCGGCACGGGTAGCAGAGTCGTTTCTCGAGATAGGCGCTACGCGCGCTTCAGCCGGCTGCAAGCAGTTTTGCTTTTGCTTGCTCGAAAATTCAATTATTTAAACAGCAGCCAAAATTCCCAGACCGACCTCCGCTGCCCATTCGCGATGCGATAATGAAATCTGACGCATGCGCAACGACGGACACGTCACTCGCAATCGACACGGCAGACGTTAATTCGCACGCTTGCGATTCCAATTGAATTTACAGAGCAACGTGGAGCCCAAAGCCGGATGAATAATGGAAGTTTCAATGAAATTTTCCAGTTCGCCGCGGGGCACCGTAATATTAGCTTACCGCCCTGTCTTGTCCTCCCAGGGATATTCTCATTCTCTCTAGCAGTCCACCTTCTCTTCCCTTCCTCTTTCGTCTCTACGGTGTCCCAGTCGTCCTGGTCACTGGAGCTGCCTGGAGTTTGCCTGGGAAACTTTAAAAGCAGACGAAACGAGGGAAAACGTGGAAATGGCTTTGCGAGGCTATTAGGACGACGCGGTTCTTGCGGATAAAGAAAAAGCAAAGAGACGCGTGTTGTTTCTTTTTCATCGACCTTCCCTCTCTCTCTCTCTCTCTCTCTCTCTCTCTCTCTCTCTCTCTCTCTCTCTCTCTCTCTTCGCCTCCCCTCGTCCTTACCCACCTTCACCCTCGTACTGCACTCTCCTCCACTGTTCATGCCTCTTTTGGGATTTGTGCTTTTATATATATATATAACTCGTACCCTCAAGGGGGCACAAACCTAGAGGCAATAAACCTTTACGGTCGAGTCAAGCTCTCGTTTCCCTCGTATCCTCCATCCCGGATCCACCCACCCTGTACACCCCATTCAACCCCACTGGTAAAGACGTACGCGATGTATGCGACATAACATCCTGGGTAAATGCCAGCTTTACGCTAAACTCTCGCTTCATTTTCCGAAGCTACACGAAGCTACACCTCCCAAGGGAAACGGGCCAACTTTTCTTTTCCTCGACACGTGCCACCTTTTATCCACGTATAGGACGCGCAGGACGCGCAGGACGTATAGGACGTCCGCCTATACCGACCGCGTAAGCGGACAGCGTCTAATCTCGTTAGGAGTCGATAGTAGGACGACGTGCTTTTTTTTCGAAAGCAAATATCGAATTTCAAAAGCAAAAAGCATCTAGAAAACGTGAAGCAGCTTCTCTCTGGGCAAATCTTTGCCGACTATGCAGCAGCTTCATTCCTTTTATTTCACGTGGGATCGTTAGCGCGCGACTTCCTGGTGCTGTCGAGAGGGACGATTTCTTATCGGTATCAGGTTTTCTCTTTGTGCCGAGACAAAATAATATATTCCCTCGACAGGCAGGTTGTACGTATAGGACCTATATATATAGGAGCCTGGAGCATACGCTCGTTTAACGGGACTATGTGCCAGTGACTATGTGCCAGTGGTACGGGACTAAAGTGGAGATTGCTTTTTTCTTTCTTTCTTACTTTGATGCGAACGAACGAGCAAGAGCAAGACGAGGCAGACGACGGAGTTTCCGATGTACCGGCGATATAGACGGAGTTATCGGGTAAATCGATACCCTTGCTTTGGCTCTGCGAAAAGAGCTTTCTTTATTTTATCCGTTTTCAGCCTTTTCCCTCGTAGCCTCACCCCACGCTCCTTCAGACGAGTCCTTTGTCCTTGCTCCTAGCTGCTCCTAGCTGCTCCTAGCTGCTCCTAGCTGCTCTCTTTAACACCTCCATTTGGTTAGACCGTGCTAGATCGCGTTAGATCCCGGCAGGCGAACCCTCGGCCTACCCTGACCTCGGCCCAGGAATCACTTGGACTACTTTTCTCCGTTTTCCAAGCTTTCCTTCCTTCGTCCGAGTCGGCACTCGGCTTGACCACTCGAAATAAATCTCCCGACACGAGAACGTCATTTTGAATGAGCGTGTCGACGTCTCTCTTCCGGGCAAAAGAGATTGCTCCTCGATGATGCTGAATTACCGCAACGCAATTATCCTGGTGCTCGCAGCCACGTGACCTCAAAAGGAAGAAACTTTCCAGAACGAATTACCGAAGTGTTTTCCTTCTTTCTCGAGGCATCAGCCGGTGCCCTTGCTCCTCGGGATCCTGGCGCATCAAGCGCATCAAACGACTCGTTCAAACGGATTATTGCGTGCTTTGCATAAGACGCCGAGGCCATCTTTGATGTTCCGGACTGTATTTACGTCGCCGCGACGGGCGAATTAGACGCGCGAACGAAAGCCTCGAATTGGGCACGAGAGCGGAAGCTGTTTCTGTAGGCGGCCGAAGGGGTTGGGCGAGGAGTCTAGCTAGAGGGAGGGAGGGAATTACCCATTGCTTCCTCCCATAAAAGGAAAGCGATGATCGAACTTGAAAAAATCCTTAAGAAGGAGACGAGTGTCGGAAAAATTGAGCAAATTTTAAAAACTCATCCACTTCGTCCAACGATATCCTCTGGCCTCCTGGCCTCGTGTGTCGCACCCGGTGGCATCCATGACGCTTCGTGTAATCTAGGCAATTTAAATTTGGTCCTGGTCCGGATCGGGTATCGCGATGTAATCCCTTGTTGAAACAGCTAAGCCTTTTGGATTGGCTGTGGGTTTCCCAGTGATACGCTAAACAACAGAAAGGGTCTCTCGTTCTCCCACCCTTCGCTCTCTGTGTGTCCTTCTCTCTCTCTCTCTCTCTCTCTCTCGCGCTCGCTTATCTGGTCCAGCGTCTCTCACCCTCGAGATGTTCTCAGAGCTCAAGCCGAAAAGAATGATAGCGGTCGTTTAGAAAATTGTCCAGTTGCAGATTGGGGGTCGAGGGGAGAATGGGGGAGAGAGCAAAGGAGCTGAAGAACCGAATGCCGGAAGCCACGCTGCCAGCGGAAACCTAATTTTCCTTTAGGGACCTTCAACTCACGGATGCGAGTTGGCTGGCGCGTAAGGAGGGATCGTTTTCAAAGGCTACCAGTTTCCTAGCAGTCTCTGCGCTCAGCTATTCCAGCTGCTAGACGAAGAAACGCTTGATGACGCGAAAGGGCCGGCTGAAGCTGCGGGGACGGAACTCGCGCTAGCAGTTTCACTTCTGCTTCAGAGTGGAAATACGACAAGCTCTTGCAGCCCTTTTTTTTCAGAGGCACTATATCCACCCTTGGCTCGTCTTATATTCCGGCGGCACTTAAAAAGGCAAATATTTATGGTGTCTTTCGTGTCTCCGACGAAAAACAAAGCCCTCCCCTTCTTCTTCTTCTTCTTCTTCTTCTTCTTCTTCTTCTTCTTCTTCTTCTTTTTCCGCCACTACCGCTGCCACTGGTACTGCTGCTACTTATTCCGCTGGAGACTCACCAGACAAGCAAGGAGAGGGTAGCATAAATATATATAGTAACGTTCGGAGGGAAGCGAGTATCTATAAGAAAGGGAGCCGAAGATTCAGGTAGGGGTAGCTACCCCGTCACGCTTATGGTATACCCCGTGGGATTAACCTTTAATTCTATCCGCGTTCTACAAGTCCGCAACCCCTATTCCAGGAGCCTGAAGAAGTAGCGACGCGTCTCCAGCCGCCAACCCCTCCAACCCCTCCAACCCATGTTTCGATTACACAACCCACGAATACAGACATCCAAGAAATTCTGCCTGGCACCGTTCATTCCGTGAAACACGACGGTTGTCTATACAACCGTCCAGATGGCCGCGACGCCCGACGTCCCCACGCACTGAGATTTCTCCTTTAAGACGGATTTTTTCCCTCAGATTGTAATTCCTAAAGTCAGACCCAATACCAGAAGTCAAAGGCCAACGGAATCAAAGCACACAAGGAAGTCAAGCGGATCGAGGATCGAGGATCGACGTATCGACACGATCCAAATAGATCATGATTCCACGCTCTTATCGAATCTTAGGAAGGTCAACCGTATATGCGGCTCTAATAATGTAATGCCGTGATTGGTGCAATTATCCTTGCGAAAGCGAGCGAAGACGCAGAGCCGAGCAGCAGCACGATCGCCGCAGCCCCTGAGTCTTCCTCCTGGGACAAGGACTCGTGAATAATGATTCGATAGAGTCGCCCGATAACGCCAAGCTTCGAAGTAGACCCGCCAGGTGGTTCTGTGTAAATTTCAAAAAATTCCTCCAAGGGTCGACCGTCCATAACCCCTACAGCAGACATAGAAACAGGAGACTCGTAGGGGCAGGTCAAGTGGATCGATGCACGTTACCTACCAAGTCTGTACACCTCGACGAGTTAAACCTTCGCGCCAAATATACCTACAAGCCAGACATACAGGGATGATCTACTCGGGATAATCCGTAATCGTGAAGGCGGGAGGAAGAGGAAGAAAGAGACGAAGAGAGACTGTCGAGAGGTGCCCTCGTAAAATTTCCGAGGATGAATTGTGCAAGGTGTGTAAGGCGCAAAGGTGTCCTCGTAGGCAATGCTGATCTGCGCAGAATCCCGGTTAACGATTGCAGGAGCAGCCCACGGCGCACAGGTGAGCATCCGATCTGGGTCAACCCGACCTCGTCCTGACAGCAACGGTCCAAGCCCAACGACCCACTTCCCAGGGGAGGTATGGTCTCTCGGCATCGATCGGTCTTACCTAGGATCAATTTTCTGTTGTACCACTCGACTTTCCGATCCTACAGAAATTTTCAAGGACTTTCATTAGCATCGCGCATCATATTATTCCCAATGCATAATGCCTCTTCAGTTCAGCCTTATTTCCACTGGAATTCATAATCCGCATAGCCGCAACTTTACGATCTTCGATCTGTTTGCCGATTCCTCACACAGAGACGAGGTGCGAAGGTTTTACCATCCACTACGACCCTGAACGTTCACGTGGTCCAGAGCCAGAGAAGAGAGGCTCTTTTGAGCTTGGTTTGAATGAAAAAAAAAGAAATACGTGTTAAAAAAAGAAATCCGAGACCTCGACATCGTCGACAGGATGCGAGATGAGAATAATCGAAATGATCTTGCGAGGTCGCAAAGTGCCCGGAGCCACGTTCGGATTGAAAGCACGGTTAGTTAAGCACGTGAACATCACTCGGATCACTCGGATCACTCGGATCACTCGTCCCGGATGATCCTCCGTATCGACTATCCTGTTCCCTCCATCGAATCAATTCTTTTTTTTTTCAGTGTCAAGGCAGACAATTCCACAAGAAATATCACGATGAATCCTGAGGGCGTCAATCACGAAAGGCACCTCCTGTATCCGGTATCTTAATTAATGATACACTTCATTAACCTCGACGGGTTTGCCAGTTAGCCAGACTCCGTGGTTTCGTGGTTTCGTATCTCGCACCTTCGACGGGCTAACGTGTCTCCCGGTGCGTCTGCACTCATAACATGTATATATATATATATATATATATATATATGTATATGTATATTGTATAGACGCTAGGGTACACGAAACGCACCGGAGTGGTTACATAGGTGGACACGTAGAGTTGGATAAGGGCGCAACAGACCCTCGTGTGGCTGCGTTCGCGGGGGTCGATACAGCCGCGTTTGCGCCTAGAGCTCAAATTGACTCGGCATTGTGTAGGCCTCTGTTGAAATCTCCGTAACTTGACACCGGGCCAACTTCCATCAACGGGGTTGATGTCTCTCGGGATTCGAACGCGAACGCAGCGAACGTGCCAAAGGACCCGACGCACCGGGTCCTGGATGACCATCCGATCTTGCACTTGGACCGATGCACTTCCGGGCCTCGGGTATAATCACGTGACGGGCGAATTTTGACGTCAAAGTTGCCGCTCTGAATTTCGGAATGATCCAAAAAAAAAATTCAAAACTTTTTCATCACGAGGGATCGAGGCTCACATATTTATCATTGGTTTGAGCCGCTGAGGAAATGCTGCAGCCGGAATTGGAATCTGCCTTGAGGATGAGAGCTTGTTAAGGATTCTTTGAATTTTTCCAAGATACTCATCTGTCAGCTGTAATAAGGATTTTCTCAGGTTTCTGGTTTTTCGTTGCTCTCCAGGAGTAACGAAATTCACGAGGAATTATTCGATTACCGTTTGGGCTTCTGGCTTCGAGGTTCTTTCCACACCCTAACCTCCTCCTCCTCCTCCTCCTCCTCCTCCTCCTCCTCCT